GTCACCACTATCTAAAAGCAAGAGAAGAAAAGTCGTTCAGACCCATAAGAATACCGAGTCACCACTATCTAAAAGCAAGAGAAGAAAAGTCGTTCGTCGCAAGAACAAATCTTATGCGAGACACTTACCAAAATACGACAAACCCCATACATTCTTTGTTTGAATAAACTTAATCATGGTAGTTATCTTTGATACCAGAGGTTCCTTGAAACGAAGGAGCAAACGCTTTTCTGAAGTCTTAATAAATACCTCTCCCTTCAAAGTGTGTATCTATGTTGATGTATATTAATGGTTTACTACGAAAATCTCTAAAAAGTTGGGTAAAAAACAATGTATTGTTTCCGGCACATTGAAATTTAATGACTCCTTTATAAACAATAAAACCAACCTGATGGATTCACAACATTTTATTACATTTTTTATCAAAATCGAACAGCTCAGACCCCTTTACGAGTTCTTTTTCTTGTCGGTCTGAACATATATATATTTCCCTGTGATACATTTCCGTCTATAATTTTCCGTTTTACCCAGCCATTTAGCTCGACTAGCTCTGCTATTTCTAAATGGCTGGCGCCCATCTATTTATACATTATTATTTTATAAATTTTGTTACATAGCAATTTAAGGAGAGCCAATGAAGATGTTTGTTGTTGTTGTTAAAAAAACTACACTGGTCAGTATACAAGTTATCCAAACAACGAGGAAATTATAGTTTGACCCTCAACATCAATTATTAAGCTCTCTTGTAGTCGTAGTTCAAATTTTTCTTTTCACCACGAATGATGTAAAAAAGATAGTATACCTCGAAGTCAGAAGTGATACTGGATGTAGAAGCAAACTGTTCGAAATATATATATATATATTTTTTTGACCGATATAAGAAATATAGAATTTCCATAATGTAGAATCATTTATCATAACTCCCTAATATTTTATATGATCTTTTCTTTTTAAAGGTGGTTTGAACCATCTTTATCTCGAAATATAATATCAATTTGCGCCTCTCTTTTCTTGCGGGATTTTACAATCATGAAATGTGTTTTGTAAAAATTAATCGACAATTTGCTGACATCACCCCACTCCTTAACACTGTGGAGTTCAGAGCTCGTTAGATCTTCAAGTTTCATTAAGTTACGGTGAAAGGCAAACACATTTGTTTCATCAGCAAATATTCTAAATTTCAGTCGATCAGAACATTTTGGCAAATCATTCAATATACAATAAAAACACAAACAGGTATTCATTGTTTGTTTTGAGGATTCACTATTTCCCAGTGTAACATATTGCTGTCTAGATCTGTTCGTTAAATATTATAACTGGCAAACCCGAATTTAATGCAACACCTCTACCTCCATATAGCAACTAACTTTTCCAACAGTATTTTGTAATCATCAGTATTGAAAGCCTTTGAAAAATCTAAAAAACACTCCACAAATGTACATGTTATTGTCTATTGCTTTCTTAAGGTTGTCTGCTATTTCAGTGTTAGCAAATGAGGTTGAGTGGTTTTTACAAAATCCAAATGAAAATTCAAAAAAAAGGCTCTTTTATCAGTGTTATTAATCAAATGTTTTGCAGACAGCTTTTCTAATATTTAAGTAAAGGCTAAGCAATATTGAAATGGGACGATAATTTGTTGCATCCATGACATCTCCTCCGGAATTGGCAATAGGTGTACCCTTAGTAATCTGGAACAATACCATGAAGTAAGGGTTGATTAAATATTATTGCTTAATTTCATGCACTTCTGTAAGTGGAACACCACCAATACATGATTGATCTAATTTCAGATTGATTCATTTGGCCAACATTTATAAAATAATAATTTAATTAATAAAAAACTATGCATTAAAGTTAGTTTTTAGTTTCAACCTTTAATGCGGTACAACTATTCCAATTTTGCTCCATTTTAAACATTTAGCGCGTTCGTATTCATACGGTGAACTTTATCTAGATGATTCGCTAGTCGAGCAAGATTGATGCTTCATCAGCCAAAAACAGGACATGCAGTTTTTACGCGTTTGAGCCATGTTTAATTGATCATTTATACTAGCAGTAAATGGAAGATTTCTGATATGTTACATGTGTTGATTAGGCCCGTTTTGGCCCGATGTGGCCTTTTGTGGCCTCATAAGGCCCGATTGGTTGCAGATGCTATTTCCTTACACGAGCCTACCCAAACTTGTTAGATTCTTCCAGTCTCAGGGCCGTGAACTACTAAATGTGGAGCTTTCGCCTGAAAGCTTGCATCACTTTATACTTAGAGAGTGTGCTTACAGCCAGATGACTATGTACACGCAAGAATCATAACTTTTTTACAATTGTGATTAGGTGTGTGTGTGTGTGTGTGTGTGAAAACAACTGTTTGGGATCAATGCACATCTCTGAGAAGCACGAAACAGAAAACTATATATAATCTGAATCAGTTCCCCACACATTTGACATTACCACTTTGGTCATTGTATATTTCAGTTGCCTTCATTTTTTAGCGGAAACAAACTCGGTGATTTATTTTTGTTTTTTTTCAAACAAATGTTTTAAAGCAATTGCTATCATATAGCTCAATTAACTAAAACGAATATTTCTATCTTCCGATTTTAAGACATTACCCTGTAAAGGCAACGATATGATGCTTGTC